TTACAGTAAATCACTTTAGGTTAGTCAAGATGGCAGGAACTTGAAGCAGTTAGTCAGATTATCATCCCTAGTCAATAGCAGGAAGTACTTGTGTTCAGCTGGCTTTCTCCAAAAATATAATGCAAGATCCCTTGTCTAGGGAACAGTGTCACCCACAGTGAGCAAGTCTTCCCACTAATCAAGACCATCCCCAACAGACATGCCCACAGTCAAAATCTAGACCATCTCTTATGACTCCCTTCCCAAAGGCTTCTAGATTATCTCGTTGACAAACTAAGCATCACAGCCAGTGATATTTAGAGTATCTTTCCATTCCTCTGCTGATGAGTCAGATGTCTTTGTTCACACACTTTCTACTCAGCTACTCTGTGTAATGTCTGGTCACAGGGCTGACTTCAGGGCACTTGCTGCTCTTCCAGAGAACCCAGGTTTGATTCCCAGCACCCACATGGACGCTTACAGCTGTCTCTAACTCCAGTTTCAGGGGATCTGGTGTCCTCTCTGACCTCAGTGAGCCCTGCATGCATGTGGTACACACACACATGCAGACAAAATACCCATACATATTAATAAAACAAAAATAATTTCCATCTTCAGTAAATAGTATTGGTACTTCACTGTTGAGTTGCATCAGCTTTCTATTAGAGTCTTTCATTTTGCTGTCTCCTGTACTGTTTAGGTTCTAGTCTGATGTGATTACACTTAATTTTTATTTTGTTAACTGTGCTTTTGGTACCGTACCCAAGAAATTCTGTCAAAAACAATGTCAAGAAATTTTTTGCCTTACATAGTCTACTTCAATAGTTTCAGATCTTATATCCTATGTTTTTGAATATTTTATTAATTCTCTGAAAATTCTTTTTTTTTTTCCTGAAAATTCTTATAGTGTATTTTGGCAGTTGCTACCCCACTTCCCCCTCATCCACCCACTGCCCTACCCACAACTTTGCCTTTTTGAAATGTAAAACCTATTAAGCCCAATTTAAGTTGTTCACATACTTCTGGTTGTGGGGGCATCCACTGGAGTGTGTTTGACTTGCTAGGGCCTGTACCCTTAAAGAAAACTGAAATTCTCACACAGAAGCCGTCAACTGCCTACAGTTCTTCAGAGAGGGTGGGAACTTGCATTCAGTGAGGTCAGGTCCTGTGTCATGACTTTGCACGTGGATTTCCATCTTCCAAGCATGGTTTACTGAAGACAGTCTTTCCCCCTTGTATATTCTCGAGAGAAGATCAGTTAACTATATATAGGCACGTTTATTTTTGAGTTCTCCATTACTTTGAGTTTACACAGTATATTATTTTGGTTACTGTAGCTCTGTAATATTTTGTGAAATTAGGGAGTACAATGCTTCTAGCTTTTTTCTTGCCCAAAACTGCCTTGACTACTCAGTGGTATTTGTGGTACTATAGATTTTTAAATGTCACTGGGGTTTGGCTAGGGATTTCATTAAATCTATTTGGGGATTATGAAGGTTTTCATAGCATTAACTAACTACTGATGAACATAAGATACCTTTCCAGTTATTTGTTTGTAGGCTGAAGATGTAGCCCAGTGACTCCAAAATGTCACCTGCTGTATGGTTCTAAGACACCAAATATCCAGAAAAGAAAACAACTCTATAGCATGGATACTGGTGGTTTCAAGATTGTGGAAAGTGGGCAATGGGGAGAAGTTACTTATTTGGTAAGACAGTTTCACTTTGGCTAGAAAGGTTGGGAACTAGATGACAGGGTTGCACAACCCAGGAAACACAGTATGTGCAATTTCCATGTTTCCACTGCTCACCTTAAAAAGCTTAATTTCCTGTTGTATGGTCTCACCTTAAAAATTTTAAGGCCAGGGCTACACACAGAAACTCCAGCTCAAAGACCAAACAACAACAACAAAAAAGTAAGACACTCTGTGTGTATGTGCAAGAGGTATAAGTGCTCTTGGAGAATGGAGACATAGGATCCCCTGGAGCTGAAGGTAAACAGCTCCACATGTGACGGAAACAGAACTCAGGTCCTCTGGAGAGCAGCTTATGTGCTGGACCACTAGCAAGCCATTTCTTCAGTCTTCACCTTAAATTTTCAGTGCCACTCATTGTTGATGAAAGACAAGAGTTGAGCTTGCGGAGTGTACCCCAAAAGAATAATGATGCATCACTGTTAAAAGATGATTGCTTCATTGTTCCTGGTTCATTATCTCAGAGTGATGAAGGAGCACACCTACTTAACTGTCAAATTCAAGTGCCCACACATCAATTCAAGGGAGTTGGTGAGGCGAGAAACTAATGTTTCTGCAATATATGTAGATAGATAGATAGATAGATAGACAGACAGATAGACAGGCCTTGCATAACTCATAGGTCAAAAAAATTTACAAAAGAAGCCTTTCCCTTCACAACAGTAAACGGGTGCTACATGTCCAACTATTTCAGAGAACCCATTTTGATACCTAGCACCCACTTTATGCAACTTACCACCTGTCAATTCTAGATTTATGGATTCGATGCTCCTCTTATAGGCTCAGGGGGCACGCACGCACACACACACACACCACCAACAACAACTGCTTCTTTTTCTGAACTTTAGAAATGGGCATTTCATCTTTTAGCTGAAGAGGCACTGGCATTGTAATAATCTAGTAAAGTCAGAGGTTTGTAATCCCTCTTTAAAGCCTTTAATGCCTGATTTATAGTTAATAAAAGTGAGTGGTCTTGAAGTTAACAAGTGTGTGTGCATATGCAGTGTGAGTACTAGCATGTGTGCTTGTGGGTGTGTGCAGGTGTGGAAGGCCAAAGGGCCTTTCAACTGAGCTCAATTGGACTAACCAATTTGGCTAGTCCAGCTAGTCAGCTCACTCTGGGGATCCTATCTCTGTCACTCCATTCTAAGAACTAGAATTCCAGGCTGTGACCACTCCACTCTGCATTTATGTAGGTGTGAGAAATCTGTCCACTGGTCCTCATCCTTGTGCAGCAGACGCTTTACCATGGAGTCCCAGAGGAACAATCGATGGGAACAGAAATAATCATGTTAACCACAAAACCTATATAATAGATGGCTACACTAGTGTAATTATGCTAAAATTTCAATAAGCTATTCAAAGTGTATCTTTAAATTACATACCTTCTTTTCTAAATATAAAATTATATGCTAACCTCTCCCCTTGAGGAGAGGTTAATAATACAAAGTACCACCCTTTCTTTCATTTTAAGACTTGCTGCTCTTGTTTTGTGAGACAGGGTTTCACTAGAGAGTTAGGCTGGCCAAACTTGGATCTTGATCCTCCTACCTCAGATTTAACCAGCCTCTGCTACCATACACGGCTGGTTAAATCTTTGATTTCATATTTATAACTACTGTAGAATAATAAATAAAGTTGTAATGACTTGCCAGTAAGAGTTATCAGTAAGGAAAATAGCAAGAAAAATAAAAGCCGATTAAGAGAATATTTAGTGCTAGGGATCATAGGTGTGGTGGAAACACCAGTTTTAGAACCAGGTAAAGTTAGGCCCAAGTCCTAGTATTATGACCCTATGCAATAAATGCCCAGGCATTGGTTTCTTCACTTTTGTGTGTATAACCAATATAACATATTTTATTAGCTTCTTTTACAAATGTTTAGAATAATTCTTTAAGTATTCATGGGATAAGAATTGGAGAGATAGCTGGGCGGTGGTGGTGCATGCCTTTAATGCCAACACTAGGGAGGCAGAGGCAGGCGGATCTTTGTGAGTTAGAGACTGGCCTGGTCTAAAAGAGCTAGTTCCAGGATAGGCTCCAAAGCTACAGAGAAACCCTGTCTCAAAATACAAAACAAACACAAAGAAATGGAGAGATGGTTCAGCAAGGAGAGGGGCTTGTTGCACAAGCCTAATGACTTGAGTTTATTCCCAAACCCACATAAAGGTAGAGATCTACTTGAATTTTCCTGACTTCCACACTCCCACCAATACATGAACACCCCCCAATCCTGCATCATACACACACACACACACACACACACACACACACACACACACACTAGGGTGAAAACCTTACAAGGTCTTCTGTAAAACACTGAAAAGATGCAGAGGGGAAGAAATAACACAAGGTATTCAGTTTTAATATAAATTAAAAAGAAACCCCACAAAGCAATATAATGCTTCTCAATGTCATTGAACTGTAGCCACAAGGTAAATGATCTACTGAACCTGAGTGCATCACTAGCCTTTACCCAAACTCAAAGCAGGTATAAGTGAACTTATGGCCCACATCTATCCAATATCCTTTGCAAAAAAGTTATACTGGCTCACAAACAGGCTCAGTATTTACATACTCTCCACTGCAGTTTCCATGCTATAAGCCACATAGACCTCAATATTTACTGTGTTTCTTGATTGCTCACCACTACTCAAAGGCTTGTTTTGTGTATCTGAATTGTTAGCTCCTGACTGGGAAGTGGGGGAGCAGGTTATAGAAGGATGAACAGTACTTTATTACCAAGTACAAGGCTCTTTGTCATTACCTTCCCTCCCTGGCTGTTTTACTTTCTCCACAAAGGAGAGTTCAGCACCAGTCCCTTCTTATCCAGGGCAAGCACAAACAGTTCACTCACCAGTGGCTTTGAATACTACCACTCTGTATATGAGACAGAAGTGCAAACTCTACAAGGCTTAAAGGGTGGGGTAGAGCTTTACTTTGATTCTAAGGGTTTTGTACACCAGAGTTTTATAGCATAGGGAAACAGGTTTGACAAGATACTTAGTGCTACTGAGAAAGTGGTCCATATAGACAAAAACTTCCTTCTATGTCCTGGCTTTTCTATAGGTTTATATTATTTCAAAGCAATTCTCAAAAGATTTGTTCAACTTGTATGAGAAGCAGGAAAGATGAAAATATTCTCTTCAAATATTCAAGAAAACAATTCTATTATATGTTTTTTTCTATTTAACTTCTTTTAAGTTGATGAGACGACAGTGTATAATACTACAGTTTCTCATGATGTGAAGGAATGACTCTATAACAATTAGCAGTGCATCCCTTGTGTTTTCAGTTCTCACTGTGTGTCAGGACAGCACATGGAGTGGAGCCTGCTGTACAAAGGACTACCGCATGTGACGCGCGTAACAGCACCAAACACAGGCTGACCAAGCAGGGATCTGAAAATAAAATTATCCAAAGACAGGTTTTTATTGTAAATACTTATTCAAAAAACTACTATATACAACAGAATTCTAACAGGCGTTGAAAACATTAAACATTCAGTGAAACAGTTTAAGAATTCAAAGCACATTTTAAGAAGTAAAAATGCAGCATTTAAAATAAAAATTTATTAGTACGTCAAAGCAAATTATTGTTTGCTGTATTCATTTCTATATCTTAAAAATCAATTTAGTAGCTGACTTAGGGAAAAATCAGGCTAATTTCCGCATCCAATTTTTTTTTTTAAATCTGCTTTAGGATCGCATTTGAATTTCTACTTTTAAAATTAAGGAGTGCATGCCAAGGCATGTTTTCAGTTCAATGCTTTCTCCTACACCATACACCATACTTTGGTTTGGCTTCCAGGCCATTTTATGGGTCTACTGCCAAAAATCATTGAAACGATATTAAAAGCATAATAGCTACAAGAGTTTCAATAACAAATTTCTACTTTATACAACTAGCCCAGGGGGCAAGGTAGGGTTCTGCAGAGCTTATACACTGACTAAAAGCACAAATATAAACTTTATTTTTATAAGTTCACTTTCACTGAAAGTTTTATAAAGGTAAGCTGACAGCCTGGCAGGCTAATACTTGTATGGAGGTGCACAGTTCCTAAAATTCTGTTTGCATGCTTCTGACAGACTGGAATGTTATATTAAATCCAAACTTAAGTTTATATTCATCCAAATTCTCAACAGGTCAGTTTAGCACTCTAGGCATGCTTCATTACCAGGATCACATTAAAAAATAAAGCCTTCATTAACAGTAACAATTGATAGGTGGTTTAAAAGTATTTCCAAAAAATGTATGGTTTCAAATCTCTTCCTTTAAGTTTATTAAAAGGAATATACAGGTGATAAGAATTTTAAGTTCAGGACTAATGAAAGTTTGAAAAGTCTGATTAACATAACTAATATTCTTATAATAATTTCATATTGGTGAACAAGATTTCTTAAAAAGTGCTAAGAGACCTTTGGATGGCAAACTTAGTTTTCACTAAAGTTCTGCTCAGGTTTTTAAAAAGTTGGAAATTCATACTAACCATGCTATTACTGGCAAACTGACTTAACAAGATAGAACATACAGGTGAAGTGTATGAAGGACCTCCCTCAGATCTCTCACTGCTGACCTCTGCCACGGCACTACCGTGCTCACCGGACAGCACTGCTCTAAGTGCTTTCTGCTGGGAACTAAACTTGGAATGACTATATTGCTTCAGCTTCTTTCTTTCCATCTTCCAGGTCTACTGCTGTCTCTGCTCTACTTCCTCCAGGACTGTCACCCGTTTGATCAGACATCGTGTCATTGATACTGGCTGAAGAACCATCCCCCTTATGAAGAATCTCCGTGGCTTCATACTCAAGTACCTCCGATGGAGTTAAAGGTTCCAAACGAACACTGCCTTGCTCACTAGCATCAGAACTCACAGTTTCAGGTTCGTCTCTTTGCCGTAGAAACTGATCAATGCCAACACCCCCTGACACTAACTGCAAATCCTGTGCAGACTCTGAAGAAAACTCAGCTGCAGGGGAGTCATGCTCCTCACTCTGATTACATGAATCTGTGTTTTCTGAACTCTGGTGTGCCTTCGGCTCCATTTCCTCACAGGTGTGCTGTGTCTGTTCTTCCTTTTCCATATTATCTGTTCCAGCATCTGAATCGTGACTGAAGATATTCTTTGAACTGCTTTCCTGTTCTGTATCTGAAACTGTTTCGTTTCCTGTACAGTCTACTACTGCTGCAGCTTCACATACACTTGCATCACGCCCAACGTCTTCTTCTGATGAAGGAGCTTTATCCTGCTTACTGAAAAACAAAGCTGTTTATTATCCATTCAATAAAACAATAAAACTCAAAGCTATCAAAACCTAAGCAAACTCTAAGAAGTAAAACAACTTAAAAGAGACTTGCCTGCCCAAACAGATAGTCCTGGCTATTCTTTCACAACTTGGGAGGGAGCAGTTTGCTAGCAAAACTATAAGAAATGCTGAAGGCACAAATGAAAAGGAACTTGGAACCTGAGTGTCTACCAGCTGCCTTTGTCATAGCTGTGACTGTTGCTGTCTGGTCAAAGCTCTGCCTGTGTCCAGGTCAAATTTAAATGTCCATAATAGTAAGTAAAAGTATCTAACATAATGAATCTATGGAAAAGTTAATTTCTTTTTTTTTTTAAATATTTATTTATTTATTATGTATACAATATTCTGTTTGCGTGTATGTCTCCAGGCCAGAAGAGGGCACCAGACCTCATCACAGATGGTTGTGAGCCACCATGTGGTTGCTGGGAATTGAATTCAGGACCTTTGGAAGAGCAGGCAATGCTCTTAACCACTGAGCCATCTCTCCAGCCCCCAAAAGTTAATTTCTTTTGTTTTATATATTCTTTGTTTTCCTATATAAAATCAAGTGTCTTTCCTATATAAAAATCAAAATGACTCACAAACATTTTCCTGATTTTCAATAACCTCATATACTTGAAAACATGCAAAGAATACATACATGCATGAATACATGTCTATCTACACACATATTTAGGTATGTTTTCTCTGAGCTTAGTGTGTAAACTGGAATAATTCAATGAACCATAAAATGGTAGTTACAGCTTTGTGACAAGGACGATTGTTATGGAATATTATTTGAAGATGTATTTGTTTATGCTTTGGAACATTTGTTTAAAGATGCAAAGATGTGTTGTATTCTTTTATGTTGGATTTGTTTAACTCTGTGAAGTGGTGTTACTGTGCCTGCCTAAAACACCTGAATGGTCTAATAAAGAGCTGAACAGCCAACAGCGAGTCAGGAGAAAGGGTAGGTGGGGCTGGCAGGCAGAGAGAATAAAAGAGGAGGAAAAATCTGGGGAAAAAGACCAAGAAGAAAAAGAAAGAGAAGGAAAAGAGGACATCAGGGGCCAGTTACCCACCTACACAGCAAGAAGTTAAGAAAGGTATACAGAAAGCCGGGTGGTGGTGGCGCACGCCTTTAATCCCAGCACTCGGGAGGCAGAGGCAGGCGGATCTCTGGGAGTTCGAGGCCAGCCTGGTCTACAAGAGCTAGTTCCAGGACAGGAACCAAAAGCTACGGAGAAACCCTGTCTCGAAAAATCAAAAAAAAAAAAAAAAAAAAGAAAAGAAAAAAAAGAAAGGTATACAGAAATAGAAAAAGATGAAAGCCCAGAGGCAAAGGTAAATGGAATAATTTAAGAAAAGCTGGCAAGAAACAAGCCAAGTTAAGGCCGGCATTCAAAAGTAAAAATAAGACTCTATGTGATTTATTTGAGAGCTGAGTGGCAGGCCCTCAAAGAGTAAAGAGTAAAAAACAACCAATTGCAGATGATTACTTTAATAAAAGTGAATCACCACACATTCCTGTTTATAGTAATTGAACTATCTGGAATTTAGACTCTCTCAATGTGCTAAGTGTCTACCCCAGTGAAGATCTCAGGTGTCATCTATTATGAAACCACTGAGCATAAAAGAGAGTTTCTTTACAATTTACTTTGTTCTATCGATCTGCATTTAGACTGACCTCGGGGGGCAATTCTCTTAGTTTCCAAACAATACCCCACTGAGATTTTCAACTAAATATTGATTAAATGAAAAAAATTCATTTGGAAAATGGTTGACCATGAAAGCTAGCTTAGTAAACATTTGCTGTTCTCCATGAAGGTCTCATTTGTGTTGCTACGGTGAAGGATTTTTTTCTGTCCACATATCATGCAATTATATGCTATTAGTTTCAGGAAGATTCTGACCTTTACATACAACCATCTCAATTAAAACCCAATTAACCGCTCTGAGCTCATTTTCTTATATTCACTAGTCATAGATAAAACCCACGCTTTTCCTCTTTTCATATCTGTAAAATTAATTTTTTGTTCAGATTATATGGGACAGACTATAATTCACAGAAAGAATGAGTAATGTATACATGATGCATTTATTTCCCTAACTGCTTAGATGACATTTTGTTTAACTTGTTTGCTCAGAACTTTAGAACAAAGGGGTAAGGAGATTAGATCATTTTACTAGTGAAAGTGCAAATACCTTCATGAGGCTTTTACTCAACATTTTACTTTTTTGGGAGGGAGAATGATTATTCACGACAGATTAACAAGTAGCATACTATAAAATATAAAGATAGAAATGAAAAACAATATAATCTAACTGTCTAACTCATAATCTGTAGTATCTTATGACTGTTTTCATGTAACAGACAATCATTTAACAGATATATCTAAAGGTTAACATTTTACTTACAATAAATACTTTAAGAAATTTAATTAAGATATCACAGACATTTTAAAGATTTAAAGATTTTAAAATGTCTTGCTAAGTTTGAAATTTCAATTAAAAGTCTAGCCGGGCGATGGTGGCGCACGCCTTTAATCCCAGCACTCGGGAGGCAGAGGTAGGTGGATCTCTGTGAGTTCGAGACCAGCCTGGTCTACAGAGCTAGTTCCAGGACAGGCTCCAAAGCCACAGAGAAACCCTGTCTCGAAAAACCAAAAAAAAAAAAAAAAAAAAAAAAGTCATTACTAAAGCTGTATCATATACAAAAATTCAAATAACTCTTTGTCAGATGTCAGTGAAAGTATTAATTTATTTCAGCAAACTTGATCAAGAGACTCATTTGTCCCTTATTCTTACCCTTCAGAATGTGATGTTCCTGTTTCTCCTTCAGCTGTATTATGTCTTGCTGTTTCCTGAAACAATAACACTTTTACATTCATGGCTAAACTTAAGTAGTATCATAATACTAAACATCCTGGATAAGAGGAACTTATATGTACAAGCTAAAAAACTAAAGGAACAGAAAATAACTTTCTGATCTTAAGCGTACACTACAGTATTTTTAGAATAGATAATAAGCAATTTTTTTTCAAATTCATAACAATTTCAGTATACCAAAAAGTTTTGAGCAAAGTCAAGAAGCAGAATACAATTTTATTAAGAGCTATTTACTTCCCAGTTAAATGTAGTGGTGCACATCTTTAATCCCAGCATGGGGGAGGCAGAGGCAGGAGGATCTCTGTCAGGTCAGGCTGACAGAGATCGCCTGGTCTACAGAGCGAGGTCGAAGTCACTAAAGACTCTATAGTGAGATGTTGCCTATTTTCCTCACCAAGTTTTTTAAATGTGGACCATAGTTACTTGGGCAGAAAACTAGATGAAATCTGAATATAAATAACAAGATGATGCCCCCCCGAATCTTAATGACATTTTATTTCATATTTAAGAATTATAAAAATTTTGATAATTTTACTGTCAAGTCAAAATTGAAGAAATATTTTGCTTATTTCAAATGCTGAGGAAGGAATACTAAAAAACCTCGGTATACTGGAAGCCGCTCGGCATTCCCTAACATTCACCACTTTCCAAGCACATATGCTGTGTGGAGTGTATTAAGAACTTTAATTTCATTTAGCCCATAGTTGAGATCACAAAGGATATCTGTACAAATGAGAAGTAACTGGAGGAAGCAGAACATCCAAGCGATACAGTGAGGTGCTGACGAAAGTCTAGGTCTAGGTCTTGCTCTAAACCCACTGCAGACTGACTGTGACATGAATGGCAGCGTAACTAGTCACACACAATTAAGTTCTTATTCTCCCCTAATTCTGCCAAATAGAGCCAAGAAATAATAGATCTTCACTCATAAAAACAAACAAACATGTATTTCAGAACTGTTTTTAGAAGACGGAAAGTGGCTTAAGTAGTGGAAAAGACTTAAGATGGTAGAGGTGACAGGAGATGTCTGAAGCAGGGCAGTGCAAGAAGAGAGTCACTTTGGACAGGACCTCATCCAATGCTGAGCACAGAGACCCTCAGTCAGCTCTCTGAACCACCTAGTCAGGACTTATGAGTACCAGGAGCAGCAAAGGCCAACATGAGGGACTGAGAAAAACAAACAAAAATACAAATAAAAAACAAATAGATCTGGATTTCTCTTTGTAGAAAATAATCAGTCCCAAAGAAACATTTCCCATAACACTGTGGGAAAAATCTCTTTATAGAATCCCTCAGCCCCAGCACAGCACACCTGACTTCACTTCAACAAAGTCTAAACAATATCCATGCATAGTGTGGAGATTATATGCACATAAACTCACATTAAAATTTATATCAGCGGGTCTAAAAGTGTGATTCACAGATACCCAGGGACTCCATATGACTTTTTAGGAAATAAGTTATAACTCTTAGTATAACATAAGGAGTGGGGAATAAAAATACTGGCACCGTAACACAAACTAAGACAAAAGCAAAGAACTGTACCAGAAGTCACTGTATTCTCCATTACCACACACACATAAGCAGAACTAACTTACTATTATTATAATGCTATTATTATTACAGTGCTGAGGGGCAACCCATGGCATTGTAGATTATAGGGTGGTGCTCTACTGCGCTATAGCCCACAGCCTTCTTAGGTTTCAATCTCTGAACTCATGTCTCAATGTTCTGTGTATGTGTTTAAAGCACCAGGGTCCACGACTGAGTTGTGGATTGAATACAGGCTTTTCCCCACAGAAAATCACTTTTGCTTTTTGTTTGTTTTGTTTTTTTTTTGAGACAAGGTTTCTCTGTGTAACAGTCCTGACTGTCGTGGCATTTGCTTTGTAGACCAGGCTGGCCTCAAATTCCCTGAGATTTGCCTGCCTCTGCCTCCCAAATGCTGGCATTAAAGGCATGTGCCACCACCACCCAGATATCACTTTTGTTTTGAATGAAAGCCAAACTATGCATATTTTGATTTTGGTATTCAGTAGATATTTTTATAGTAAAGTTTGAGTTTGTCATATGAAGGGGAAAAAATCATGTATTTACTGCTAGACATAAAAAAAAAACAAGCAAAAACCTCCTACTTTTGGAAAACTTTGTGTATCACAAATAAACTTAGTGCTAGTATTAATGAATAAGACTGACATTATACAATGTAGCACGTCAACATTCTGTAGGTCTAACTCAGAATAAAAAAATTTCCAGTCATCAGTACAAAATTTACCCATAGATAAAAGATCTATTCAAAATATAATAGAAGATATCAGGACTAAAAATGGCAGTGCTCTTAGAAGCAACCTACATGTGACTTTCTTCTTTTCATTATAAGATAATTTTATAAACTCTGTTGGTTATGATGGCTTGGACATAATTTTGACTCCATAAATGACAAGTAGATTTTATTCTAGAGAGAGGAGGAGGAATTAAAGATGGATAACTGTAGTGCTGGTGACACAAAAAGGCTACATAAATGACAGCAGCCAACATGCCCCAGTGCTAGCACATCCCTCAGGGAAGAGAGCAGAAGCTATATCCACAAAGCCAGGCAGGCAGACAGGCATCTTGTTAAAGACAGGTTGGCCTACTCACAGGGTAAGCCCACAATTCTCACAGGCATTAGTAGGATACAAACTCCTATGTGGCAGACCAGCAGTAAATGGAGAAGAAATCCATTCACTACACCCCATACTGCATGACAATAGAGTCATCTTGAGAGGGAACCTACTTTTTGGGCCTGAACTAGTCTGAGGACCTAAAACAATCAATCACAAGTCAGGGTGAGTGGAGACACTACCACAGACAAGAGGATGGACGGTGGACATGTTAAGCAGTTTAAGCAGCAGGTAGCTCATGTTAGGAAGGGCCAAAGGTCAGAGACCCCCCACCAATATTACAAGTTTGGGAACCTGCAATTACTGGGGAGGTGATAGTCCTCCGCCTGTGGCTGGCAGACTGCTCAGACTCTAGAGATGCCTCCTTGCTATATGATCTAGGAAGAATGAAAGACTTGAAGTTTCCTTTCCCATTCCCAGGGTGGTCCACTGCTACGCAGGCTCTTAAACTGCTGGGTTCTCTCAGATCTCTTCAGCACAGGTCAGTTTGATTGTTTCCTCTACTCTTTAATGCCCTGGAAAGGGCTCCTCTGACATGGATGCTCCTCACCCAAGGGTACACAGAGCTGGGAAATCTCTGGAGCAAGTAAGAACCTGCCTAGCCTTTAGTCCACAAGGCCAAGACAGTGCGAGCAGTGGTTCCTCATGAACAAAGAAAGGAAGCTTCCAAGGAGAATGACGCACTGCGCAACAATGGGCTCAGGACAGAGCAGTGGAAAAGAGAAGGGTCCATACCACAGCTACCAGTCTGCAGGGTCAGAGGATCCAGAAGGAAGGCTCTAAAATTCTTCATTCTTTAAAAAACTTGTCTTTATTGTACTCTATTGTTGTATTTTTCATTCTTCTCTCATAGCCACTTAATTGTATTCATCTTTATTTTTTGCTGTGTAATCAGATTCTCTTATTTTGTGCTCTTTTTGCTTTTATTTACATTATTCCATCATTTGGTATAGGAGTTCCTTCTGTTTATGTGTTGCTTTCATTGGTTAATCAATAAAGAAATTGCTTGGTATGATAGGGCAGAACTTAGGTAGGCGGAGAAGACAGAACTGAATTCTGGGAGGAAGAAAGCTGAGTCTGAGAGCTACCATGGAAACGCCAGGCCAGACATGCTAAATCTTTCTTGGTAAGCCACGACCTCGTGGTAAACAGATTATTAGAAATGGGTTAAATCAAGATGTGAGAATTAGCCAATAAGAGGCTAGAGATAATGGGCCAGGCAATGTTTAAATGAATACAGTTTCTGTGTGATTATTTCGGGTGTAAGCTAGCTGGGTGGTTGGGACGAAAAGCAGGCCCTCCCTCCATCAACAATCATTTTTTTCTTTAACTTAAGCCTACTGCTTAAGTAAAAGGTAAATTTTATTTACACTATTACAAGTCCACTTTTTAAAAATTAACCCTTTACTTGCCTGAGTCTTTTACTTCATTTGTTTATTCTTATTAACTGACTATAATTTCTAACTTCAAAGCCTACTCAATACTTACCCATGTATATGTGCATGCATGTGTATACCATGATGCATGTGTTGAAGTCAAGAGGACAATTTGCAGGAGTCTGACCAAGGACAAAACTCAGGTTATTTGTGCTTGGTGGCAAGCACCTTTACCTCCTAAGCCACCTTGCTGGTGTGTGCCATTTTATTTTCTATTAGTTAACTGGTGGCATAGTATTTGGCTTTAATTAATCTAAATTATATTTTCAGGCCTGGTTTTGTTTGCTGTTAAGGCAGTTTGTTTTCTTTTCTTGGAGTAGTACTACTTACTGAGCCTTCAAAGAGAAGGCTGCTTACTTCCAAGTAAAACGGAGAAAGACACCCATCCCAATGGATACACAAGCCACAACTGAGAAACACAAGAAACATTAAAGAGCAAAGCAACATTAGAAATACAAAACATAATAAAATAAGAAACACAATGCAACTTATCACAAATAGACTAGATCCAGCAGAGGAAAGAATAGAAGGGGTGAAAAACAAGACTTAGGAAATATTACAGTCAGATATCATTAAGAAAGAACATGAACAAACAAAAAAGATAAAAAGCTTTATCACAATTTTCAGTAACTCTGGGATATGAACAAAAGACCAAACCTAAGAATCCATAGGTTTGATATACTGAGATATAAACAAAAGACACAGAAAACTAGTCAATAAATTTATAGCAGAAAAAGCCACAACTGGAACATTTAAGTATAAGACAAGATTAGAATTCCAACAGACAAGACCAGAAAAAAAAAAACAACTTTGTCCCATTATAGTTGAAATGCCTTCACTACAAAACACATAAATAACATTCAATGGCTACTAAGAGAAAAATCAACTAACAAGGTTAAACACACAAGAATCTCTCAGTAGAAATTCTGAAAGCCAAGAAAGCAAGACACATTATTATGCTAATCCTGAGAAAAAAAATGACTGCTAGCAAAGATTACCATGCCTAACAAAGTTACTGCATAAAATTAATAGGGGTAACAAGACCCTCCAAGAAATTCAAATTCTCAGCAGTCAAGAGAGCTTGCTGTTCTAGCAGGACTGGGGTTCTGATTGCAGCACCCACAATGAGTGCCTCTAAGTAGCTCCATGGATTCTGAATCTGCCTTCTGGCCTCTGTGGGTACCCAAGCATGTGAGTACACACAGACACAAACACACATAAATAAAATGAAACATGACAAAATATTCAATATGCATATTTAAGCATATTTAAGAAATATGACTCATGTATTTCAAAAGCAAGGAAATCAAATAAAATTTTAGAGTTTGATGATTTATTCGAATTAAATATGAATGCTAGCAGGATTGGATTGATAGTTTCTTCATATTTAGACCTTCACATGTTTGGAAAGGAAAGGAACAAATCCTGTTGCTCTTGAAGGACAGGGACTAACTATAGCTATGGAAAAGAAATCCTAATCCTCAAGGCCTCAAGACTCAGAGTTAATTTAAAAGTCATCTCTCCAGCCCCAAAACTACTTCTAGATGATCAGGAAGATCCAGACTGTCTAGCAAAAGATGCTTACATGATGACTCTAGGTGTCTATCCATACTGAAAACATAATCTTCATGCAAGATACTTTTATTCTAAAAATGTTATATGCTCTTGCCAATTTAAACGTTCCAAAATATTAACTCATCTGGAAATACTAATTTCTCATGGTGTCAAATGCCTGAGGTTCTCCTGATGCTGGGATTCCACTCACAAATTTATCACCATCACTTTACAGTTAAGCTAAGCAACAGACAAATCAAAATAGATGATCTTTGTCAAAACAGAAACATCTTACAATCTACTTTAAATGAGACATTTTCAGTCTCAATTATTTTCATCCTACTAACAGCAATAATTGTTACTTATATTCATTTGCAGTTGAAGTTTTTGAAAAACTGTGGCAATAATTCTTTCAAATGAAAAAATTATGAAGTTATAAAATAAAACAAACTTTACCTTAGACACAGATTCTTGTCCCTTAGTGGGAGCTTCAGTTTTTAATCTTAAAAACAAAATAAGTATTGATTATTTTATATTATACTTACAATTAGAAAATATGAAATTGGTTTTTGGCATGCTTAATTAATATGTAAAATCTAATGCAATGTACAGTCTAGTAGAATGAATGACGCTGTAAATACTTAATGTAAAAATAAAATACTTAGAACAAACAACAGGCTGAATAGGTATGCAAAGTAAATGAATGACATGTACTTCAGGATCAGACCCTGGCTAGGGGTAGAGTGCCTGCCAAGCCTTGTGTGAGGCCCTTGGTGTTATCCCCAAAACAAGAAAAAAAAAAAAAGACATGTATTTAGACATCTCTTAGGAACAACAGAATTTAAGAAACTGTCTCTCTGATAAGTATGGTTACAAAAAGAAAGAAAATAAAATATTAGTAAAACAATTTCCAAAAAATAAAAATGAAAAACAAGCAAAAGACCTGGATGTGCAATTTGCACTAACATTTACTGATCTTAGGATATAAAAAGTGAGAGATGATTTTGATTTGTTGAAAAACTCAATGTGACAAACCTACTGCAATATATATTAACTACAATAACTTACTCTGAAGGCAGTAAAAAACAGTCAAAGAAAAATAATTTTGACGGTAAATACTCACAAAACTGCTATTCAAGACACATTAAAAAAATTCTTGAGTGCCAAAAACATTTTAACATTCTAATTTTAACAAAGGCATGTGTTATTTCTATCATCTTTTTTAAAAAATTAACTTATTGGTAGGCTGAGGCAGGCAGATCTTTGTGAGTTCAAGGCCAGCCTGCTCTACAGAACAAGTTCCAGGACAACCAGTGCTGCACAAAGAAAGCTTGCTCAAAAACAAACAAACAAAATTAACTTAATATAAATTAAGTTTTTCTTAAGGGCCTTTGTTTCAGAAACTTGAGAACATTGAATTTGATTTTAAAATAAGTAGGGTACCTGACTGACCTGAAATATATTATTAAGAGTTAACTGATTTGTAATTTTAAAAAGATTAGGTACATACAATGAATAATATACTTAACCTAAAGCTATTGTGAAAAATTTTATGTGTAAACATGAAAATATCTAACAGAACTATCAACTACCCTAATGACCTTTGCCATGGTTAGTCAATGGAACATGGAGTTAGCATACACCCTCCTTTGTAAGGATGCAAGTTAAAAACCATGGTATATGGAGATAGCTACAGTTAAGTGCAAAGAATCTGCTTCAGATACACAAATTGCTGCATTTAGTCCATAGTGCAAAAAGAGAAAGTTGTAACAGTTTTCCTAGATATTAGTAGCGAAGTATAGAAATTACTTATCTATATTGTATTTATTAAGTAAAATTGTAACAAAATAGATAAAGAACTCTTTGTATGTACCACCATGTTAGTAGTATATTATAACAAATTATAATTAGCTTAAACTTGAAAAAAAATTGCAAAACAAACTTGAGAAACTTAAATTTCTATTGTTTTTTGGGGTTAATAATTGTTTTAAATACTTAAATGTGAGCAACAACATGCATAAAGACATTGTGTAAATTATATATAGTATAACTACATTGTTTTAATGAGGTACATAGGAAAATATAAAGTTTTATGAAAACTATATAAAGATAAGAAAATGAAACAGTTGCCTGAAAAAAGCAAAAAATTATATTTATGATGTTTTGAAATTAAATATATCTATTATAACTGGTTTCCATTTCTAAGCATTTAAACACCTTAAATTCAGTCTGAAAAACTTAATCTGTTCAGAGAATATTTAAAAATATTAAGGTTTTTCCATTTTACTCTATTATTGAAAATGCTAGCAAATATCATTGTTAATCACCTTGACAGGTCTCTAGCATTATACTAGGTCAAAATGAGTCCTCTCATAACTTTTGCAACAGAGGCTGGTGAAAGACTCACTATTCATTTTACTAGCTAAGAGACAACGAGGTCAGAAAACAAGAAGTTACTGAAATAACTGGCACTAAGAGGCTTATTAGCTCAATCTTGTTTTGTACCTTTACCAAACTAGCTAGTGGTCTCTTTACAGGACAAAATTGCAACAATTATTAGGATTCAGAAAAGAACTCTAAAATAAATTAGAAATGTACACTGTAAATTTCATCACTATAAACTTATCAATGAAAATACACTATAATTTTACAACAAAATACTTTAAGATTCATAAAATTAAATATACATTCTAATATATTATTCACATTTATAGAAAAAGAATTATACCTAAATTAAATATATTAAAGATACTTGCTGAAATAGTTGTAATTTGAAATGTAGTCATTTTCCTAAGCTCAAAGTTCTGAGCTAATGACCGGCTACTAGGCAATTACATGGCTCAGATGTGAATGTGCGATGTTTTTAGAGAATGTAGTACAGTGTTTAAAAAAAAAAATTAAGCCTTCACTACAAGGAACAAAAGCACTGATTTCATTATTAGTAACCAGATTTGCAAATGAGTAATTTTTATTCTCCATGGAAACACTCTGAAATAGATCTCGTAATTTCTACAGGTTAACCCCCTTTCTCTATTTTCTGCAGATAGGGTGCTCAACACAAGGGTACACACGAAGTGAATATTCTAGTTCAACTTACAGCATTATGCTCTCCCGAGATTTCATTCATATTATAAATATGCCACGAGGGAAGGGAGAACCCACAACGACAAAAACACTCCGGTTCATTCTAGGTGTGTCACACACTTTGTTTCTAAAGGATTTTAAAACTCAATACTTTTATGCTACTTTTATAAAATGTAAATTTCAACGTGAGGATTTTTGCTAAAAGAGGGCTGTGGCTCAGCAGGAAGATGCTTCTGCCCAAGCAAGAGAGAACTGAACTCAGACTCCCAGCACTATGTTAAAAGCAAAGAAACATCGATAGTAAAGTGAACCAAGTCAGTCAGGACTAAATGGGACAGCAGCAGACTATGGAATAACAGGGAAACACTATCAGAACATCTTTCTGATCATTTTCTCTAAGATGTGTCAACAAACAGATGTATGAACTAGATGTCTTAACATGACATCTACCATCTTGTGCAGAAACCTGTGTGGTGCTAAGGGTTCTTCTGGTCACAAGAAACAGTCTCTCCTCTTGAGGAGGCCATTGTCAAGGAAACTACTGAAACAAATACTTTGAAAAATGCAAAGTTTTAGTTAGAAAAGAAATATCTATGTGGTATACTGCTTCTAGCAAAGCAGAAGACCAATTCAAAAGAGAGGGGGAAAAATAAAAGTAACATAAAACAAGATACCAATGACATAACTCAAACAGTGAGAGAGAAAATAGGACAGAACAGAAATAAAAGAGTAGTTAAAGGGCAAAATCGAAGAAACAGCAGAGGTTACTCACTTCAGGGAACAATACCATGATGGTTAAGTGTATGGACTAAACCTAAGATTTGGGGATCCAATAAGTAAATTGGAAACAACAGAATTTAAGTCAACCAGACAAAGGTATATCAGGAGTAAGAAATACAACCCAGCACAAATGTCTGTCTGCCTTGACTAATCAGAACAATGATAGAGGCATTAACTAAGATAAGAAATGCAGAGGGTAGGAGTCATTTCTGCCAAAGATAAATTCAGTTTTGGGCACAAAGATATGATGCCTACAGAACATCCACATGCAGGCACCAATCACTACCAAGGTTATTTCTATCCAGGTAACTTCAAAATCAACACCCAGAGCAAGATGTCTCCATTTTTCTTAGTTTTCCAATCACCTGATAATTCAAATTAAAAATATAGAATATGCCGGGCGGTGGTGGCGCACGCCTTTAATCCCAGCACTTGGGAGGCAGAGGCAGGCGGATCTCTGTGAGTTCGAGACCAGCCTGGTCTACAAGAGCTAGTTCCAGGACAGGCTCCAAAACCACAGAGAAACCCTGTCTCAAAAAACCAAAAAAAAAAAAAAAAAAAAAAATATATATATATATATATATATATATATATATATATATATATAATATTATCCTGGAGTCCTAAGATTTTATTATACAACTGCCTTAATCTTACAGATGAAAGAATTGGAAGCTTAACATGCTAAAGCTGCAAAGCCACAAAATCAGGTTAAACACATGGGCTGCACATCACACTCTACTGCACTGCTTCCCAACAATCCTCCCTACCCTGGTGTGGCTCTCTGATGGCCACACCAGGAAAAATGGGAAAAAAAAAATCTCAGTCTCAAACATTTTGACCCTAAAACATGAGTGTGGCTGTCAGATTAATCTTGCCCAAAGATTGGTTCTATGTGACTCTTTGTTCTACTTTGTTGTCATGCATCAGAAGTGCTGCCCTTGACATTGGGGGTGTGGGGTGGGGATTATTGTCCAAGTGCGACAAATTTGTCACTTGTCAACTGCCCTTCTGTTGAAAGAGAAACTTATCTAGTTCGTTGGCTAATCAACCAAGACAGAAGAAATGCACCTGGAATCATAAGTACAACCAAATAAACAACAATACCTAATAGTTTTATTTCTAAAGGCAGAGAGTCAAAACTGAAATTGAGATTACCTACTTAACAGTTACAAGACATTGGTAAACTATATTTTGCTCATAATACCCCAGTTTTCCATAAGCTCAAGATACCAAGAGCACTTAACAATTTCTCAGAATGACTAAGTGAATGCAAAACACTTGAAGACTGCCTGGCATACTTTTTTTTTTTTTCCCTTGGTTTTTCGAGACAGGGTTTCTCTGTGGTTTTGGAGCCTGTCCTGGAACTAGCTCTTGTAGACCAGGCTGGTCTCGAACTCACAAAGATCCACCTGCCTCTGCCTCCCAAGTGCTGGGATTAAAGGCGTGCACCACCACCGCCCGGCTCTGCCTGGCATACTTAAGGCCATAAATAAATGTTACCTATTATTACCACCATGGAGAAAGTCTAAAACCAATTTTATGGCTCAGAGCATGAGAGTGTACAACAAAGGCTACTTTTGTAGTATCTCCACTGCTTGATTCTTCGGCAATGCTTCCATCACACCCTCAAACATA